GCCGCGCCAGCCGGGGAAACGCGGCGGAGGGCGGGCAGGGTCCGCCAGCGCACCGCGGGGCTGAGGGAGGAGCAGCCCGTTCACACGGCACGACAACTAAGAGCAGATGGATACAGTCCGAAACCAGCTTAGGGAAGTGTTTGTACCCCGTTGGCTTATGCTCCGAAGCAAGGCAGCGGGGAACCGGGGAAGGGATGCTACCTTTTTATTTTAATCCCAGCACTCCAACAGACTCGAGCAGGTCTCTTTGAAGTCATGACCTAATTCTTAGCCGGAGCCTCAGAAGTTAGCCCCAGAACTTGGATTTGTGTGACTGCGTGTGCCTCCTTGCCTTTCTTTCGGATGATTTTAAGGAGGTCAAAACACCATGAGACTCGTAATGAAGTGACAGAAATAAACACGGTCTTCATCCTCCGCCCATTTGTCTCGCCTCCAGCCACCCATGTGCTTGAAGAGCATCGAACCTGGGTTTAATATAACACAAAGCCAGTAACTGCTTCTTAACAAAGTTTGTGCCAAGCCCGCGCTGCAGCAGCTCCGCTGACACAGGTTACTTTAGACACGGACTGACCCGAGCGCTGCTCTGAACCGGTACCTCACATGGGTCAGGATTTTACCCTGCAAGAAGGACTTAGGCTCCAAACGCTTTTTAACCCAGCGTCCCACCTCAGTGAAGATATTCGGATGCTAAAAGTGAGATGCAAGCATAGGAATTCCCGTAAAGCCTGATGGTGCAAGGGCGCAAGCTTTTTAAAGAGGCTTGGTAATAAGAAACTATCATTCCCCCGCCACGAAAACATTATTCCCCACGCTAATGAGTAATGGTTCCCGCCAAGCAGTCCTCTCTTCTGGATTTTCCTCCTCCTCCCGTCACATACACGCTTTAGTTTTACATTCCACTGCTGCTCCTCTAGCTTTATATGGTTTATATTTAGCTCCAGCTAATTCATAAGGGAGAAGGCAGACTGTAAAACGCAAGTGCAAGCTTGGACCTGTATAAATAATTAACATCGGTTTAACAACATCCATTATTTCACTATCAACACACGCTCTGCTGCAATTGCCCGGACAGAGCGGCGAGAGCATCCCTTACCCGAAGGGCAGCACTCTACCCTTGGAAGCTCAAGTCACTCTCAAAGCCCTCCACGCTCAGAGCTCCCCTCCACAGAGGGAAAAAACCCCAAAACCCAAATATCAGGCATCAACCGAGTTAAATCTGAAACCCTGTGTTGTTTCCACCTGGCTCAGGAACATTTTCAACAACATCTCAACAGCAACAGTATTTCCTCTCCTCTGACAGCACCGGGGAACGGTGTATAGACATTAGCTAACGATAAAGTTTTGTTTTTAACCCTACCTGGCAGTTACACAGGTATGGCTGGTAGTTTTATTAATAAATTGAAAGCTTTATTTTTTTCCTCTGAAGAACCAGCTGCAATTTCTGCTCTGTTGAGGGTACGGCACATGTAGGTTTTAAAATGAAGTTAACTATACCCCAAGCTAGTTTCACAAAAAAAAAAAAGAGTCCCACTGTAAAAGAGAGCTCTGCCCTTGCTAAGGTCGTTTAATATGTCTCAAAATGAAATCTGCACTAAATAACCACTTCAAATTTGTATCTGCTGATAATTATTTCCAGTACTTCCTTGCTTAAATTTAAATGCATCACTGCTGTTACTGTTTCATTTCACTATGGGCATTTTAGTGTTCACATTTTCAATTTATCATATACTTGTAACTCACCGACCTCCAGAGCCAGGTGGAAACAACAATTTCAGAACCAACTTTTTCATTTGGTGTCTGGAGGGGTTTTTTTCTGTGCAACCGTTAAAACTATCCACTATAACAGTGCTTCAAAAACTTGGAAAAAATCCTTACACGCTGCGCAGTCTAGAACATGAATGAACGTCTTCCTTCTACAAACTTCTTGAGTAGTACTGAAATAGATATAACAACTTCCTGATCAGAAAGTTCTTTCAAGTCCTCTTTTTATCCCTATTTTTTCCCAGAAAATGATATTTGATAAGGGATGACATTAAATAAAAAGGTAGCATTTTGCAGCACAGTCATTCTATAGTAATCTTGAATAAACACTACGTATTTGTGTAGCATCTTGCAAAACCAAAACATTTCTAAGGTAACTTTGTCCCATCGTAAGATGAGAAGCTTGAGAATTAACAGTGAAAACAAACTACTTGCTTCTGTTTGTCAAAAAAATCCATCCTCCTAGTAACTTTTTTTTTTCCAGGTCACTCTCTCATGCTGCAGTGTCCCTCTGGGAAGAGTTATTTATATTAACATCAGCCAAGCCCAAGACTCCAAAATTAGGGAAATGAATAAGCCAAGTCACCTGTTAGAAACTATTTTTGTTCTCATTCATTGCAGCGGCTGCTGAGGAGAGACGATCCTTCTTCCCAAAGCACTCAGGAACAAAGATAATCCACCAGGTCATGTGGCAAAAAGATGGTTGATTTGCTCATCCTTAGCTCCAATATGGGAGCAAGTAAGCGGTGCCACAGTAAAGAGGAGAATTAAGGACCTTATTTAATCCACACAGCAGCAGAGCTAGAAGCAGCCTCTGAACCCCCACAGCTTATTGATTTACGGGTGTTACTTCAATGTGCCCATCCTGGAGAGTCCCCGAGCCTCCTCTGTGCCTGTTACTGCCTCCAACCCCACCTCAAGTTTTCAAGAAAAATACTAGACTCAGAAAAAAACACTGTGTGGACCTACTACTATTTTGACAGGAAACTATTGATGATTATTCTTTGACTGTATTTCAGTGAAGTCTTACTTACTTAAGGGCATACTACCTCCGGGAACTACGAGCACGACAAAACCCCAGAGCCACCACACCTGCCTCCCTCTCTCCCCTGAACCGGCTGGCCAGACGGTACTTAACACTTGTTCTAAGTGACTCCACTTCTCCACAGGCTCCACGCAGCCACCTGCTTGAAGATTTTTCAAGAATCTAAAGGGATTCCCTCAAATTTTATGTATGCGTTCATTTATTTTTGCGAAGACCGGAGGAGGGAGATGGCAGTTCTGCCTCTGGGGGCAGCAGTTACCCCTTTCACCAGCCCGGCGCTGCTGAACGCCCTCCATTACCTGACGCCACGACCCGCGGAGGCAAAGGCGGCCGCGTCTG